TTTAAAAATCTTACATAGTGTAAATTACATATAGCGCTGCACTATGATATTAAATCATATGATGTGCAACACCCCAAACCTCAGTATACACAGTTGCAATCTCCGTTGCAGCAGCAAGTGCCAATTCAGCCAATATTGCCAACTGCTACTTACTCAAAGAGTTTGCAGTCAAATGTTCCTGTGACTATGAGTCAAAACGATTCTATAGAACATGTGATTTCACTACTACAGAAGGTAGTGACAGCTGTAAAGAACAATAACAATAATACATGTGGATATAAATTGGGAAGCTTAGTGCTTTCTTACTTCGTTTAACTTGTCTTGTTTACTTATTCTCTTCATTGCCCGATTATGATTAGCTTCTTCGTGACTGGCTTATCATCTCTCCCTTCAAGTTGCTGTATCCAATAATCTGCGAGTTGTCATACATGCTAGGTTGAATGTGTCATATCATAGCGTTGGCCCGAACTGAAAAAAAAAAGAAAAAAAAGAAAAAAGAAGGAAAAGTAAAGTAGAATGTGCTACACCATAGTATCAGCTCGTACTTTTGATTTTCATTTTTGTACTTCATCATCACATGAGCAAAACTATAACAAATTGATAATTGATATGTGAATATATAGTGAAATTTGATAAAAGAGCACAAGTATGTTATAATAAAAGAGAAAATAGTAAAGTTGAGCATTACTTCTATATGTATCTTCATAATATCATGTTTAATAAAGATTCGAGCAAGAATAATATGTAATCATATATCTAAGCATAATTTTTCTTTTCTTTTTTTAATAACTGTATATATTAATTTATACTGTACTGTACTAATTTACTATTCCTGCAATTGACTGACCACCCTCTGTATAACAATATTATAATGAATTAGGAAAAAACATGAACCTCTAGATTTTCTTTAACAGTAACACACGTAAAATTTTGTAGATTGCATAAATCAATGTAGTTGTATTTTTAAAAAATTTAGTACAAGTTCTAAATATAATAAATAATGCTCATTAAAACAACATATTGCTAAAGTTTTTATGAACCAAACGGTATAAATAGTACAAGAAATTAACAACTCTTTACGAAGTTCAATACCTTTAAAGATGGGCAACCATTTTGTCTCCGTAAATTAGATTAGTTGTCAGTTTGCAAGATATCGGCTTGAAAAATAGTTTATTAGTTGCATCTAAGTAAAGGTTTTCTGCAAACCTTTACCTTCAGATACTAGTACATTATGAACGTGGGGAGTAAAATTAGGAGAAACTGTTTTGTAATATATAGATCATTACAATTTCATTAGAATTTCTATTAACTTTTTAATCATTTATTTTAACTAGATTTTTTATTTAATAGTAATATTTTTAGAACAAAAAAAAATTTATGTATACGATCAAGAAAAACCTGCAAATTATGCTTTCTAAGTATTTATTTTTAATAAAATATCACGAAAAAATTTTAACAAAACAAATTTCAAGACAAAGCTTACACGCCAAAACCCCTGTAAAACTTTAACCAATAATTGGCTTATTGAAATCTATAGTTATAATTATTTTGTAAAAAAAATTAAGAGCAAATCTAGCATCACCACAAATCATATATCCTCTTGCTCTAATTATAAATTGTAATTTATTTTTTTGCTTCGCTTTTATTATTTATATTTACTATTATATTTAATATTTTTATTTTCTATTATATTTACATCAAATAAAAGAAATAATAGAGAATAAAAATAAAGTTAAAAATATACAACGATGTTATTTAAAATCTATTTATTAAAAGTATTAATTTTTTATTCTGGGCTAAAAATATATAATGATGCCTTCACAACAATGTCTTTATGACAATGCCTTCACAATGTCTTGGAAACTGATTAAACACCCAACAAGTTAGTCCAAATTAGGTTGTGTTAGCTATAGTTTTGGTTAATTTTTTGTTGTCAAGATTTTGACCCAAATCCTCTTCACAATGATGTTCTGTTAAAGCTACCAAAATCAATTTATTGGAAATCTAAACTCAAACATTCTGACTAAACAATTAACTGTTCTTTTAGTAATTTTGTAATATCATATCAAAAGTATATAAAAAAAAAATCTTGAAAGTTAAGTAATTTTAAAAAATTTTGCCAAAGGTTTAAAATATAAAGAAGCATAAATAAAATTTTGGTTATACCACATGAATGCTGTCTTTTTTAATGAAGTTTTGATTTCAATATCCTACAAAAACTCATAAAACTTGAATTAATATACTCAGAAAGCCTTTTGTAACAGTAAAATAGAAAACTCATTGCATTACTAGGTGTTGTACAATATGAAACAAAATACTAACTTTATATGCATGATTAGTTATGGGTTTATTTCTGTCATGCTTCAAACTTGCATATCGTCAAAGAATTTGTCTTTATGAACACTTGCATTACATCCTGTGAATGCAGTTTCCTTTTGGAAACCCTTGAAATTAACGACTAAAAGTGGGTTACCGTTGCAATTTACTATGAAATGTGGGTCGATCATATAAACAAGGGTTCGTATCGCACTGTTGCAGTGCGTGATAGTCAATAAACTACTAGTACTGGTAATATAAAAAGCATATTTTGAAGAGATTTAATACATTTTACTAGTGAGAAAGATATTTTATTTAATCTTTTTAATATCACTTATGCTGATTTTTGCAAAATCCTTTTTTTAGCGTAGGTTTCTTAAAAAAAAAAAAAAAAAGCGCTTGATTACTGGTGATTTCTATTGATTAATTTCATTTTACTAATATTTATATAACTGAATTCAATTATCATAGTCTGATGCAGGATTAGCAATGACAAACGTGTGTTTTAATGTTTTTTAAACTGGAAAACTACACAAGCAAACGATTACTTTCTATAATACTGTTGAGGTAGGTTGAATATACCTGCATTCCATAATTATTTTAATATAAAACTAAACACATTATCACCCTGCAGGAAATAGTATGCCTTAATGCAAAAACAGATACCTTTCAAACTCACTTGCAGTCAGAATCTCTATTATCTGTGGGAACTTCAGGAACACCACGAGCTTCAGGAACACCAAGAACTTTAGGAACACCACGAACTTCAGGAACTTCACAAACTTCACGAACTCTACCCAAACTTTCCGAGATCTAAATCTAAAGCCTTTAAAAACTACACCTGACAAGAGACCATTTGAAAAAGAGGAATTTCAACAGTAAGTTTTTTTTTTTTTTGCTTTCTAATTACCATTTTTGTAAATAGAAAATATCAATATTAATATTTGTTTTATTTGCATGATAGGTATATCCCAAAAATTTCTATCGTATATGCATTCGATAAAGCAATTGAAAATTTAGCAGAAGTAGGAGAAGAAGTCGCTAGGGAGCTATCAACTATATGAGATGTTAATCCTGAAGTATGGACAACGGCATTGGAAGGTTATATTAATACTGTCATCGAAGGAAATAAAGAAACTTTTAAAAATAAAGCCCAGACTAAAGTATCAGATGAGGAAGAACTTTTTAGATCATATTGCGAGAAAATTTTCATTGATTTGTAGGTAGACATTAATATATTATTTATCAAAGGTGATACTGACAGTTACACTAACAACACTTTTTTAGTTTCCACCTCGTAGATATCAATTCTTCTATGAGCAGAAAGATCGGTAAACGTAAACACATAGTGTACCAAATTTTCTCATTATTCAAATTTTATGAGAGAATATTTTCTTTAGTTGAATTTGATTGGATTGAGTCGTATACTCATGCCACAAAGATTCGAAAGTCATCTACTAATTCTGGAATTGTAAAAGTAGACATTAAAGAAACGAGAGTGTCTGACGGTTTAGATATATTTCACATGGAGGTAGCAGGTCCTCCATATAATGCGAATGATAAGCATATTGCGGACAATACAAAGAAAACTATGCGAACGAACATTTTGAATTTAATTACAATATTATGAAATCATCTTGATTGTTCATTAAATCTTGCGACAAAGATCAGAGTGTACAGCATCTTATCTATCAGTGAGTAGAATATATGTCTGTTTGTAGTTAGTGATTGAATTTTCTCATACTCTATTTTCCATCTTTTCAGATGCTCGATTAACCCTATATTCATTAAGCATGCTTAATGATGGCTGCTTTCTCGTAAGTAAACTTGCTACCGCTGTTATACCATTCAGTTTCAACGGTCGAAGTCAGTACAAAAATGTCCTTAGATTGATGGCTATCCTCCATGTATGTATTTAAATAGTTTGTTGACTGATAGTCATGCTGCTATTTTTCAAGATGTTCATATAGTTGTAGTCTGAAATCATCAAACAGGAAAAATTAATGGATGAAGTTAATATACTTGTACTTTGGCCAAAGGACATTACCGTTCATCAAGTATTAAAGATCCCCGAATTGGAGTAATACCAATTGTCATAATTTTTGGTTTTTTTTTTTTTTTATAAATAGAATGTAATGAGATTTCAATGTTAAGAAATTTTGATCTTTTGTAAAAAAATAAAGATTTTAATGCGAACAAGAAATAAAAGGTTGTTCACGTTACCACAGATTAATCCGGTTCCATTTTTAACAATTGGCATAATTATTTTATTTTACGTACACCATCCATGCCTGTCATCTAATATAATTATGCCAATTGTATACAATTGTATACCCACACATCCATGCGGTTATCTAGACAGTGGACGATGCCTGGAAGTGCGAAGAAAGATAATCAGGCGATCATCTAGACGGTAACCTCCCAATCGCAGTCTTGTTTACTGGTTTGCTATCTATGTGTGAACTTTTTACTCGTAAAGGTAGGTAGGCCATCAAGTTTCGTGCGGTCATCTGGACGTCGAACTGGTAGAGAATTTAATTTATCCTTTTGCATGGTATTATTTTATTTATCAAGTTTTTAACTACTGTATTGTTTTATCTGTAATTAGTTAATTTCTTATTAATGCAATATTAGCTGTGTATTGATACCACCAGTGTATAGTTGATAGTGAATACAAAAACAGAATTATATAATAAAGTATATATATTCTATATTTGATCATTTATTTTATTTCTATTTTTATTATATTTTTATTTTTTTTTATTTTTTTTTTATATCAATAAAGGTTCAATTTGCATATATAGTTGGTTTACTTTGGAAATGTGTTTCGGGAGTTATTGTATTGATTAATAACGTATGGTTGATAATTTTTCTCACAAAATGATTGACAATTTGTTGTATATACATTTTTTAACTTAAGAATTTAAATAAAATAAATTTTATCTCTTATAGAAGATCTAAACAAATTAGATTTAGAGAATACCAGACTTATGGCTAGAATCTGGGAATTAGAACAGATTCAGATCAATGAAGCAAAACTTATTGCTAAAATTAAACATTTGCGAAACAAAAATACTGACAATGTAAAAAAAAGCCAAATTTTTGTATGTCGTTTGAAGTGACTTTCTTAATGTTGCTGTTAATCAATAGTGCTGTTTCGTGCGACACTGTCACACTAAAACCAGGAACGTAGGTTCAATGATCTTTATAATTATACAAGAGTCGATGCGACCTATTTTTTGTCAAAGTATCACTCCAGATCGATGATAATATCACATTATCTGGCAGGTATTATGTATGCACTGACAGATATTATTGCCGCAGTTTATTATTAAAATCATGTGATACGTAAAAATTTTATTTTTTAAAATTTCTTAATTAAAATTCATTTTATTAAAATTTCTTAATTAAAATTCATTTTATTAAAATTGTATACCCGGAAATTACATAAAACAAAATTTAATTCAATTAAAAAAGATAGTAAAAGATATAGTGTATTTCCTTCTTGTGACTATGAAAGGTGTACATGGTGCCGCTTGATTAGTAATAGATTTTAAAGATGTTTGTTGGCCTGATAACCTTGGAATACGGGATATAAATGTTGGTTTTTTGCTAAAATTAGATCTTGTTGGAGTTGTGGTAGATGTTGAATTACTCGAATCTACGAATAAGAGTGTAATTAAAATATATATTACGAGTATTAAGTGTAAATATTTCTTCTCACGTCATTATATTAGAATCAAAAAAAATCAAATCAAATCAATGAATACTATATTATGCTTTAAATAGGATAAGGCCACACAAAGTTGATTTTTGTTTTGCATTCCATGGATTTCAAAATTCCCAGTTGGTTAGTTGGATTTTTCTTTTTTCTTTTTTTTTCACATCTAAGATTACAAAAGTTAATTTTTCGCTTTATATAACATGGACTCAAAATTGGGTTAGAAGTTAAATTTTTTCTCAGTCTGTCAGATAATTTCAGGATGACAAGATCTCTATCAGGTATACCAGAGTAATTTATGAAAAAAATTAAATGGCAAAAATAGACAATTAGGCAATTGAAAAAATGGTCTAGTGAGTAATGCAAAATAAAAAAATAACTTTGCGTGGCCTAATAAATACTATCATAAATTTCAGGATAGTCTTCATAACTCTTTTTAGATTTGTAAGAGTCTCATATATTGTGTGACCTAATGGCTAGATATTCATTTAATTATCATGTATAAGAAGCATAGATATTTTAACTTTAGATCCCTTTGTTTATTCGTTTTAACTACATGAAAAATTTGCAAAAAAAGTCTTCAAACTCATAATTGAATATATCTCTATAGCTGTCAACTAACTGTAACCATATTGCGATATATCTTTGTGATATATTTATCTGTATTTTATACTCTTGAGAGTTTAAGGGCTCTAATAAGTCTTTATAAATTAGTAGTTTATTATAATATTAAAGTATTAAAGAAGAGTTGGATCAAAACATAATTGCTCTCTTATCACTATATACCTATTAATTGAATTATCAGTATTTATTATTAATCAAAGAGAGTTTATTTGGACAATATGGTTTCATTAGTATATATGCCATATCTGCCAGATAATTATCCCTTACATCGCTTTGCAGGCAAATTTGTCTGCCAGTTGTATTTTCTCAAAAAATCATAATTTAAGGATATATAGCATTATAAGATGATCCAATCATTGGGTTCAAAAGTCTTCTGAAAATGTTATTCATTTTAGCATACAGTCTCTTTATTTTTTATTCTTTGCTTATTTTTTTGGGCCCTTAAGAAATCATATTCTTGTATACCTCAATGTCAAATGTGTGAATATTATGTAATAATAATGATCAAAACTTAACAAATTATTAGATATATTAATAAACCAACAAATTATGTTAGGTGATAAAAAATTAAGATGTTACAGTATTAAATTAAGAATTGTTATTAACATCAGCAATATATTATTAATGTTAACAACAAGTAATTAAAAACTAATAAATTATATAATTAATTGATATATGACTATTATCAAATGTTTATTAATATTTATTAATAAAAGTATATTTATAATTACTATTTAATAATTACTATATATTGATAATAATCAATAGCGATAAAACCATTCTTTACTAAAACCTGAAAATAGTATAAAAATTAAATGCACCAAATATATTAATATATTAAAAAAGTGTAAATAACTCTCTGGTTCTGGATAATATCGAATATACTACAATATAACACTAAATACTAATTAAACTACTTGAACTAGATTACTGCAACTAATACACCAAACTCTAATATTGGTAAAGCAACGATTGAGATATAAAAAGACTTGGCTTAAGCAACTAGAGTTAATTAAGTTCTCAGTAATAGTGTCAGATTAGAACTCTTAATTATGTCATAAATTTCTTTATTCAAAATCACAGGATTTGGTTACGAATTTCAATCTTTATTACAGATTTTACTTATCAGAAAAATTTGTGAACCTCAACCTTTCTACTTAATTGACTTAGAAGTTTTGAACTTCAACTTAGTTTGACACTATAAGAGTAAATCACAATTTAAATACTCAAAGCTTCACACTATGAAAGTAAATCACAAATTAAATACTCTGATTTCTTTAACTTGAAGCTTTGAACTTCCTAGAGCTTGCTAGCATCTTTATTACAGTACTAAAGTTATTCTTTTTATAGCTTTTATATTATTATTACTTACAAGTCAAACTTATTCACTAAAGCTACTTAATCTTATTAATTCACTAAGTTTAATTAGTTTAACAAGTTTAACAAGTTTAATAAGTTTATGAAGTTTGATAAGTTAAACTAGTTAGACTTTTGTGACTTTCATAATTTTCGTAACTTAGTAATTTTCTCACTCTTACTATCTTTGGCTAGATTCAATCTGAGCTACTGTAGCATATGAAATAAGCCAATATTCACTTGTATCCAAATGTTACAGAAAATTTTGATAATCCTTAATTACTTCATAATTTGTTAATTATTAGTATATTATTTTTTCCTTTTATATAAATATTATTATTATATATTACTTTATTTTTATTATATTTTATTATATCATTTTTATTATATTTTATTACATCATTTTTATTATATTTTGTTATTACATCTTTGCTATATAAATATTACTATATTCCTTTATGACTTTTCTACCTAATAATTGAACTAATATATAATAGATTATTTCTGTATAATGAAAGAAAAGATAATTTGTAAATAATCCTCTTAGTATAAATAAATAAAGGTTCCTGTTTATCTTTAATAAAATATTTACCTACATAATTTATGTTGCACCTAAAGCTAATTTGTTAAACACAAATATTACTCTTCCAATTTTGGATATAATTAGTAATCTGAATTGTTTAGTTAAAAATCAATTAGTTAACAACTTTTCAACTAATTAATTTAAAAAAATTTAAATCAACTAATCGATTTAATTATCAACTTGTTCAATTCTGAAATATTCTGTTTAGTCATGCTAATTTGTGTAGATTTCTTTAGTTTGATTAGTTAATTAGTAAATTTAGTCATATAAAAGAAAAATCAATTAGTTGCAACTAAAGTTAACAACTAATCACTAGTAAAATTTTTACCAACTAGGAACACTAGACATAATATTTTAGTGCTGATTGTGTAGAATAAGTAAAAGCCAAAGTTGTACTGTATTAAAAATAATAAAAAGTATATTAAATATAGTAAACAATAGTAAAACAGTTAATAAAAATAAAAGTCCTTGCAACAGTAATAAAGATCCAGAAAATAAGAATAATCTGAGCCACTAACTGCAACAATTGCTTTATAATATAGTAGATATTTTAGCCTAATCACCAAAAGTTTTAGATAAATTTTGAGAAACAGATTTTTGTGAAGATCCTGGCCTATGCAGCAAGAAATCAGAACCTGGTTGAATAGTTAGAATTAGTTAACAGTACTTTTGAGACAAATAAAAGTTGGCTGTTGTTGGTATCAGTTTGATGGGTCTCACTGTATTTTGGTAGAAGGATCAAATAAAAAAAGAACCAAAAATTCTGAACTAAGATAATGTATATATTCAGGATTAAAGCTTTATTTACTAGTTTTTCTTAAATTTTTGTATCTTGATATGATAATCTAGTAGAATATAGAATTATTAACCTGAAAGTAAGGTACTATAGAAATAGTGAATTAGTATACTGCTAATATGTTGGTGTTGTTTCATCATATATCAAGGGTTAAAATTAATATTCTGATATAGTGAGAACACAAATATTCATACAAGGTCTCTGTTCTGATCTTTTATTGTCAATTTAACTATTTATACTAAGTACTTTTCAAGAAACCATAGAAAGAACCCAGATTTGTAAAATAATAATTGTGTGCAATTTGGCTTTATACGACTCTGCTACAACTCATAATATAGTTTTGAACTTTGTAATTGTCTCTTTGTAGTTACTCTAAGCAGTATCTTCTTTGATACTACAAGTAGCAACTTCTATATCTCTAGTAATAAAGAATCCCATATAGCAAGTAGTTTCTTTGTTGCAAGAAGTTGTCTTTGCTTTAACAAATAGTAACAACAATAAAGATAATTGTTTTTGCTCTCCTCCTGTCAAAAACTTTTAAAAAGAAGTAGAATACCCTTTGAATAAGACTATACATGAGCAAGAATAAAGGCAAGAAGAAAGAAAAAATGAAGCCTGCTAATTTTTCAGTAATAGCAAGTCTGAATGATAAAACTCAAAAAGAGGTCTCAATAAAGAAGTTGCAAAACAGTAGGATAAGAAACCTAATAATAATAAGCATAAAGTTTCAATTAAAAGATAGAAAGTTATTATAACAATGGTAATAAGAATAAAAACAATATAAAAAGGATATATCTAATAATCACAAAATAATAAATACTCAAGAAGATCTGTTAAGAGATATCTAGAACTTATTTGATATTAAACATGGCTATCCCTTAAACCATCCAAATAAGCAGGCAAATTTGCCTGCTTAAATTTTATAAATTCATGTCTGATCTATTTTTTTTAAAAATAAAAATA